AAGCAATCCTAGCCGCCTTAGCTTTGATCCCCGAGCCTTGTCTCTTCCTCTTGATCCATTTCAACGAGCTCAGCATGGTCCCCATCTCCCTAGGAATGTCCAGCCATGTCCTGACTCTATGCCAAACTTTACCTGAAAAAGCACAAGTAAAAAATAGGTGTGGTACCGTTTCCGGACCACCCTTACAAAGGGGGCAAACATTAACAACATCTAATCTATGCAAGTTATCAAGAGTGGCAAGGCGGTTACGAAAGGCAAGCCAAACCGTGGAGGAGAATTTGGGGGGAATATAATTCTTCCAAATGAAAGGCATCCACATTTGGGTTCCCCCCTTAACTCTAAGAAGGTTGTATACCAAACCCGAAGATAGCTTGCCATTTGTTTGGCAAGTATTGAGAAAGCTAATGGCATCGTGGGTATTGTCAAAGTGAGAGACAATTTGATCTCTAATCTGGGCAATCTTTTTGATCAATTGGGAGTCTCTTTTATGAGGTGTGAACTCCCAAACACCTCTACCATTAAGGTAGACACCATGAATCCACCTAACCCAGAGATTATCCTTTTTAGTATGGATATCCCAGAGAGTTTTAGCAAGGAGGGCAGAGTTCCAAACATATGTATCATGAATACCAAGTCCACCTTCCTCTTTAGGGAGGCAGATATCAGCCCACGCCACTCTAGCATACTTGCACCCCCAAAGGAAGATATGACAGATAGAAGTGATTCTATCAAGTACCGCCCTAGGGATTGGGAGTGCTTGTAGCCAGAAGAATGGACACCTTGAATAACAGACTTGATCAGTTCGACTCTACCAGCATAAGAGAGAGTTTTGGTATTCCAAGCACTGATAAAACTGGTAATCGAATCCAACAAAGGAGCGTATTGAGCCACATAGATTTTAAGAGGGGTTAAAGGGATGCCCAAATATCTAACAGGGAAGGATCCCTCTTTAAAATCGATCATGTTCAAAATATAAGTGAGGTCATGATCGGCCAAGCCACCAAGAAAGATATTAGATTTGTCAAAGTTAACTTTGTCAAAGTGAGTTTATCCATGTTTTAGTCATATAGAAAGGTTACGTTTCTCAATTTTAAACTTTTAATTCAGTTGTTTTTTTAGAACTTTTGTGGCCACCAATGGTAAATATTGAAGCCGTAAGAGTTACTACACACCTACAAAATTAATAGAATACAATTGGAGGAAAATCAACCTTTAGTGGGAACGATGGATGTTTGAAAAATTATTGTTGTATTTTATGTATAAAATTAGTATACAAATTGTACATAACTCATCTAGTTATTTGCGCAATTCATTTGAAAAAAAGATATGATTTTATGACAAAATTTCTGTGTAACACCAAGAATTATCTATCTTCTTTGGTACGAAGTGATAAAAAATAAGGTGATGGGAGAAAAATGAAACCATTCTGTGTTGACCCGCTTCTTGATCACTCAGCAGTGAGTGAGTCCATGGATTTTGTTTTTGTTTTGTTTACCATTTTTCCGATTTCTCCGCACTTGTTTCTCCCACCCATTAAGTCCACTCCTCAAATCTCTCTCTCCCACACTTTCGTTTTTTCTCTTGAATCACCCATTTCTTCATCAATCGTCAATCTTTTCTACTGTAGAACCAAGGAAAAACAATCCCAAGCAAACACCACCACCTCCCACCACCAAGTCACCAACAACCAGTCGCTCCGAGAAACGAGAAGTTCCCCACAAATAAAGCACCAGAACCTCCATACACTTTCACCCGCCCCGCCTTTCAGCGCCAGCCTCCCTCTCTACTTTCATCCCCCCGCCTCCAACAACCCATTCATTCATTCAAACCAAGAGATTATTCCCATATTTGTTTTTATTCTTTTTAAAGGTGAGATTTTTACATGTCCCGCCCCAAACCCTAGGCTTTTGCCCAGCAAATTCAGGATTGCTTTGATATCCGATACAGTGTGAGAGCAATCCAGAGTGGGTGTTCCTCGAACCTTCAAGATTACCATCAACACATCTCCCAGATGAAGCACATTGACAGCATTCCATCGGTCCCTGGGAAGTTCAAGTACAACAGGTCTAGGTTCCAATCACCCCTAGCCAAGCTCACCTTCTGGTCATGTGTCTTCTTAGGATTGGTTTATGTTTTCTTCTTCAAATCACCCTCGTCTTCTTCTTCTACGCCCGTGACATCAGATCTCTCCAGGAGGTCTCTGAGAACCAGCTCCTACGGTGGTCCAGCCTGGGAGAAGAGGATTAGGGCCTCTGCAAAGGTCAGATCCAGAAACGGCATATGCGTTCTGGTCACAGGGGCTGCAGGTTTTGTTGGGACCCATGTCTCGGCCGCCCTCAAACGGCGGGGAGATGGCGTCTTGGGTCTTGATAACTTCAATGATTACTATGACCCTTCATTGAAAAGAGCCCGCCAAGCTCTGCTGGAGCGAACAGGCGTCCACATCGTGGAAGCCGACATTAATGATGCTGCCCTGTTGAAGAAGCTTTTCGACATTGTCCAGTTCACCCACGTGATGCATTTGGCAGCTCAAGCAGGAGTTCGGTATGCTATGCAAAATCCTAGCTCTTATGTCCACAGCAACATTGCAGGCTTCGTTAGTCTTCTAGAGGTTTGCAAGAGTGTGGATCCTCAGCCTGCTATAGTTTGGGCATCATCCAGTTCTGTTTATGGATTGAACACTAAGGTGCCCTTTTCAGAGAAGGACAGGACAGACCAGCCCGCCAGTCTCTATGCGGCAACCAAGAAAGCTGGAGAGGAGATCGCCCACACGTATAACCATATCTACGGGCTTTCATTGACCGGATTGAGATTTTTCACAGTTTATGGACCGTGGGGGAGGCCAGACATGGCTTATTTCTTCTTCACAAAGGATATATTGAAAGGGAAGTCAATTCCTATATTTGAGGCTCCGGATCATGGGACGGTTGCTAGGGATTTCACCTACATAGATGACATAGTGAAGGGTTGTTTGGGGGCACTGGATACTGCCAAGAAGAGCACAGGAAGTGGAGGGAAGAAGAAGGGGCCTGCTCAATTGCGTGTCTTTAATCTGGGGAACAAATCACCCGTGCCGGTTTCAGAGCTTGTTAGCATTTTAGAGAGGTCTCTAAAGGTTAAGGCAAAACGGCAAATAATGAAGCTTCCGAGGAATGGGGATGTGCAGTTCACACATGCAAATATCAGCTTGGCACAAAGGGAGTTTGGGTACGAGCCTATGACCGATCTGCAGACCGGTTTAAAGAAATTCGTTAGATGGTACCTGAGTTACTATGGTCATCATGGAAAGAAGAGCGCCCAGTGATTCATCATATTCATTCAGCTTGTATGGTAGGTAGGACCATTCAATGTTTCTGCATTTTGGATTCATGTTGTTTCTAACCTAAGCAGTCCATTTCCCAAACACCTTGTTCTTTTGGTTATCTTAATGAGGGAGGCCGTGAAGTGGTGGGTGGGTGCACACTGAAGGAAATTTATCCAAGTTGCCGGGTGTCTGATTTATGTATCAAGTATCAATGGGAACAAACCAACCGTTTAGTACTCTTTGAGAGTAAGTGTTGTAACTTGATTTGTTTATGTACAATTTTTTCCCACTAGTTGCTGATTGAACATGTATTATCATTACCAAACTCAAATAAAGAGTCACATTGCCGTTTGGTAAACTGTTATCTTAGCATGGGTTCACCCCTTGATATAGTTCAGTACTTCAGTTACTAATCTAAATACCTACCAGATTTTATTCTTTTGTTATACTATTATGATTATTACATTCTTCTTATTCTTATTGGTTGGTTAGTTGTTTAGTTTGCAGTGATGCTCTTTTTTTATCAGATAAACTTCCTTTGGAAAACAATTTTTGTTAACTCTTTTTCCTGAGTTAGATGTGGCAAGGATTGCTGATTTTGGTTAATGAAGATTATGTGCTAGGAGAGAACCTTAGATGGAATAGGTCTCTTGTGTAACTGAAGTCGGCAGCAGAAAGTTATAGGTGTACAAGCATGTACCCTTTTCAATCTATCTACCTTTGTTCTTAAAACTGTTCTTCATTTTTGGGTAATTACATTCTGAACTTCAGTTTTTGGTAGAATACTAGGAAGTAAAGATGAGTGAGTATATGTAAGGGAAGAACAAATATGAAATGTACTGCCCTCTCCATATGCCTGAAACTAGGCCTATGTTTAGCAATGATGTAATTTCATCTACCATTTAGCAAAAGATTTGTGTGTGTCTGGTTGGTGAAAAGAAATGCAAAAGAAAGTCTCTTTTCATCTGTCTCCCATCTATCATTTGATCTCTTATCTATATTTCATCTAATTGTGCCACAAACATGCACCTTTGGGTTTGAGTCTTTGAGATTCTTGTACAGGTAGAGGAAAATGCTCATCTCCCTTGGTTTGGTTAAGTTTTTCTGGTCGGAGGTGCATAAGCCGTCCTTCCCTTCAGTCCAAATCACTCTAATGCGAGGCTTTTCTGAAACGGAACACGAAAATGCTTCCACCATCCCCTATTCCCCTTAGCCCCCTCCCATTCCTCGAAAAAAAAAAATACAATCTAAGACTACTCTCTAAAACTAAAAGATGACTTGGACCTTCACCAAGATGGGTAAACCCTCAGTGGCCTTTGTCTTGTAAAATCTGTAACTTTATTTGTGGTTCTCCACAAGTATGGTTAGTTAAAAAAAAAATACATGGTTTATATTATCTGATTTATCTCACACTGCGTAATAAATTTAATTTTGAAATTTTCATAATCTCAAATATTGTGGCCGGTCAAAGACTGAATCAAAGTGAGACTTTATTTCGGAGATAATATTGTTTTTAGTATAGTTTTTGAAAAGCGACTTGTTTGGACAGTTGATAGATTTCTTAAACTCAGTTGAACTAATTGAGAATGAAAAAACAATTCACATTATCACTCATTCACTCCTATTATGTTCATTATAATTTGCCAACAAATGCTTATTTTTGTAAAAGTTCTTTATAGTAAAAAAACAGAGCCTGCTGAACAAGTTTCCGAGATGGGAGTTGTAAACCAATACGTATGCCAGTAAAGTCCTAGCGTGAGGATAATTTGATGTTACAATGTTACGTGTTTGCATTTCAATTTGTTAAAGTTATCTCTTTAGCGATTTCACAGAGACGGCAGAAACATAAAGTAAAAAAAAAGATTAGAAGTGTAACAAATACGACAAAACGTGGGTATCATCAAAGACTAAACAGCACGAAATGAGATAGATTTTCTGTCTGGCCATGATTCTATTTTCTGAAAATACTTCACCGGCACTACTCCATCAAAACCTTCAGTCAAGTTGACTTTGTTTTCAGAGATGTAAAGCTTCATTCCTTCTGAAGTAAAACGAGAGAAATAATCACAAGACATTAGATGATGATTCAAAGGGATCGCCCAAGTCATCTATACTTGATTGCTTCTACTTTTCGAATTAAATTACCTTCCAATGCTTTTTTGACGTCCAGAAATATGAGCATATTGACATCTCGCCTCATCCCTGCAAAACAGAACAAACATGATGAACCAATGAGAAGAGCAATCTGTATGTATTTTTTTTTTTTTTTGGATAATTCTTTCTAACTTATATAGTATCTGCTTATCTGTATGTATTATTATCTCCTATACTATTCATTAATCAATGTCTTCACTCCAACAGTAATTTCAACATCTATTGTGAACTTGATCATTAACCTTTTGGGATTTTTAATCTTTTAATTTTTTGTTCCTAATGAAGTTATCAATTGCAAGTTTCCAACCAACAACAACAACAACATGTCTACATCCAAGCCTTAATCCCCAAAGAATTGCAAGTTTCCAACACATACATAATTTTAAATATTTTATTATCTTACCACTAATTACACCACCATCGGCTGGTAAGCCACATGAGAAGTGTACATGTAATCTTCTCATGCGTTTGAGACCTTGCTCTAAAATCGATTGCAAATCCTTCTTGTAGGCCCCATGCACACAAACTGCACATTAAACAACCATAAGAAAGATGTACTGCTGCTACAATCATACAACATACGAGAGTGAGAATGTTCAAAGCGCATGTCCATCATATCTTTACCTGGCACTTCTTCAGCTGAAATTATTGATTTCAATAAGCTTTCTGTTTCAACCGTCTATCCATGCCATTCCCAGGAGAAAGAGAAACAACTCAATCAAATTCCTCACTAGAATAAAGCACTTATTTGAATGCATTGGGCGAACTGAAATTGCATATTACATCTGCCTATAAGTTGCACCCCCACCATCATTATTATATGTTCATTGGAACAAAAATGAATTTATACAAAAAGAATGAGCAAGCAACATTGCGAGTAGTAAGCACTATTTAAACTTTGATGTGATCTTTTTAAATGTACATTTTCTGGTAGAGGGAATAGATACCACAATGAAAACAGCTTAATACGTCACGAACTACCTCCCCCCCCCCCACCACCACCACCACAAAGAACAGTGTCCTGTTTGACCATGGTACAATTTAAACGTTGATGTGGAAAGTGTTATAAGTCATTGACCCTCTGTACATTTTGAAACTTATCCTTAAACTATCAAAGTAATCATATTTAGTGAGTGTTTGCGATTGCTTCCACTTTATAGAAGTAATTTTTTAAGTGATTTTAGAGGAAGTGCTTGATAGTAAAAGTTAATAGTGTTTGAGGAAAAGTGTTAATAGAAGATGTGCTTTTTGTGTAACAGAAAGTGAAAACACTCATTTAAGCATTTTTAAGCCAAAAGCTGAAAACACTTTCTTTAACTTTGCAAACAACCCCTTACAGAAAATTACATGAAAAAATAGTTCCGGTTAATCAAAGAATACTCGAATTTTTTGTTCAGGGCAGTACATAACATGATTAACATCGGTGGACAATGGATTACCTCTATTGAGTGCCCTTGGTTTGCACGTACCCAAAGCTCTCCACTTTCTTCTAATAAGCTAAACCTTTGTTTGTTATCTTTTCTGACTGCCTGCGATATTTAAGGAGCAAAAAGTGTAACATTGTTTTGCAAAATTAAACCCATCACCTTGATAAACAGTTTAGCAATTCCACCAACAAGCAACCTATGAGGGAAAAACCAAAAGATGCAATACATGAGACTGGGTGTCATACAAGCTAGAACTATGGTAATTGTGTTATTTCAAATACAAATATACAATCTACTATTTATATTAATATTACTTTTAACTTGGACTAACATTGCATTTGCTAAAGACTATTAAATTGATATTATTGATAAATAAATAAATAATAAGTAGTGGGCCTAAACCCAACGGAAAACTAAACCTAATGACAATGACAGAACCTATATTTCTAAAACAAGGACTCGCTATATCTTCATAGTTCACACTTTACACACACCCTCAAGCTAGCGCATCTACAAAATATTAAACTTGATAACAAAAATTGAAATCTGAATTTGACTAGAAACTACAAACTTAAAACTCAACTTGGAAACTTCAACTTCTCTGAAACAAAACTTCGAAAATTAAACTTGAAATTGAACTTCAAGTGAGCTTGATTGGTCAGTCAAACATCCTAAACTGAAACTTGAACAACTTTAATTCACGTTCACATTTGACTTGACTTAAGTACTTAGCTTTGGTTGGGTACATTCTTGACACAGTCCTTTTCTTTTTTTGCATCCTTGCCTTCTTTTATGAAAAGATAATACCCTCAGTCTTGTTTTCCGCTATCAAGTTCTCTTAGGTGGCCATCTTTGATGACTTCTTGTCTACCATGGGAGCCATGAAAATCAGGACTAATTAAAAATAATAGAACAATATGTATGGAAAAATTACACGAGGCCTTCCGGGAGGGCAAGAGCCTAGCTTACCCAAGACGGCACATGACGGCTGTGAATCTGTGATCAGTCTGCCAAAGCTAAGGCAGAAAATGGAGGAATGTGTAGCATTAGAATAGACTATCGCACATTGGGTAACATGGTCATTCTGACAGCCCTGATGTTTTGGTCGATTTTATACAAAAATGGAAGGAGATGCTTTGAACTTACGGAATGTAGCAGTCCACAGCTGAAAAAACTGGTTATGGTTTAGTGAAATATTTAGCACAAAGGTCATAATATCATGTTGAATAATGAATTACAACTTTTATTTTTACGACTTCAAACTTGCAACTATAATATAGTTTCTTGACACTTACAACACTTATAAAGCGAAATAATGAGCTTAAACCCACCAGAAATAGGAAATCTAGACCTAGGGAAACCATATGTTTCTAAAACTTGGTATTACCATATCCTGTACTTCAACATAAAGTGAAGGGGGAAATATTACAATGCAAAAAAATGAATGCTTGACAAAAGTTGTTGACAACAAAATCAAGAATTTGCATGGGTCTACGTGGATTTAACATAGAAGCACTGGATAACACTAAAGAGAAAGTCTTTGCTGAGAACTAACCTCTTTGATATCATCAACTGTGTGCAACCTCAATGAAATATTGGCAAATGTTTTTAGATGTAGTTTCAATAGATCTTGGACCTTGACAAACCCATCGCTCCTCATATTCAAATTTAGCTCTGAAGCCATGTGACGAAGAATTCGAGCTCTGGGGTTATTGCCCACAAAAAAAATGTTGTCATACCCACTTGTTTTCATTAGCAAATACAAAGGTGATTTAGAACAAGGAATTTGAATGTATTCAGGCATACTGATCTTTGTCAAGTTATCAACTTCCAATGCTTATAATGGCAGTAATAACGACCTTGACATAGATCACCAGTGCAAAGCTATTATGAAACAACCTAAGAAGCATAAACAGCCATACATTTTTGTTTACGAGTCTTTCATCTACCTTCACCACATCTGAAGTGGAATATAGCTCACAGTTCCACACCATTGTCCACTCCAGAAAAGGCCTAAACTGTATGCTGAATGAAACGAATAACACTAACAAGATAATCTTGAGAGCTGCCTCTTGTAAAAAATGACAAGGGAAGACTTGCTCCCTATGAAGCACGGATACTTCACTAGGGTAGCGTATCGGCGTATCCGATACGTTCCCGTATCCGATACTCTAAGATACCCGTACCGTACGTTCCCGGGCCGTATCTGCAATTTTTAAAAGTTTCCACTTTTTTTTGTAATTTTTTGAAAGTTTCCGATACTCGTATCCTGACGGATACCCGTATCAACTTTTTTTAAAAAAAAATCCCAAAATTTACTTGATAAAATTCTAAAAAAAATGAAAATCTAAAACTCCATTTTACTTGGTAATCAAATAATGGGCCTATATGGCTATATCCGAATTAAGTCATTAACTCATACTCCGAATTGGGTACTTGCACTTTTAATTTCAAGATTGTAGTTGTTTGACTTATTTCTCGTTTTAAATTAATGACTTACTGACTACATTTATATTTCGAGATACACTAGTGTATATGAGAAATATTATGAATTTATTACTAAGTATCTTGAAAAAGGAAAATGTTTCAATGCAATGAATGAGTAGACATCATAGCACATTATATGTATGTATGTATATATATATATATATATATTCAAAAAAATCTATTTTTAATATTTATAAATGGACCCCTATAACTTTTAATATTTGTAAATACACCCCCATAACTTTTAATATTTATAAATATGGCCCCGTATCCGTATTCTACTTTTTTTGGTTTTGACGTATCCCCGTACCCGTTTCCGCGTTTCCGCGTTTCCGCGTACCGGTATCGGTGCTACATAGCTCCTTATATACCCTTGTGGTGGACCCTTCCCCGGACCCTCGCCATGCGGGAAAGCCAATGTGCACCGGGCTGCCCATTATTTATTATTATTATTATTATAATTATTTAGGGGGCAGAAGTTCTTTGGTGGACCTTAACTAGAAAAGACATATCACGCAAGTATATTAGCATCATCATGGATATGTATGAGGATTGTACTACAAGTGTTCGTACTAATGTAGGGAGGACTTCGGAGTTCCCTATTACTATCGGAGTGCACCAAGGATCGGCTCTGAGCCCTTTCTTATTTGCCATAGTCATGGATGAACTTACGAAGTCAATTCAAGATGAAATATCGTGGTGCATGATGTTTGCCGATGATATTGTATTGATTGATGAGACGCAATCAAGTTTTAAAGCAAAGTTGGAAGTATGGCGACAAACATTGGAGAACAAGGGTTTCAGACTAAGTCGGAGCTAGACAGAGTACATGGAGTGCATGTTTGGTGGAGGTAAAAGCAGTGGTAATAGTGGAATTACTCTAGATGGTAAGGAGATACCGGTCAGTGATTGTTTCGTTACTTGGGCTCCATAATTCAGAAGGACGGTGAGCTAGATGGAGATGTATCCCATAGAATCAAAACAAGGTGGATGAAGTGGAAGAGTGCCTCAGGGTTTCTATGTGATAGAGGTATGCCGATCAGAATGAAGGGTAAATTTTATAGCACAACAATTAGGCCTGCATTGTTGTATGGCGTAAAGTGTTGGGCGGTGAAACAATGTCACATCCAAAAGATGAGTGTGGCAGAGATGCGCATGTTGCGTTGGATGTGTGGGCATACTAGGAAGGACCACGTGAGAAATGAGACAATCAGACAAAGGGTGGGAGTAGCACCTATTGAAGACAAGATGCGGGAGTCTCGCATGTGGTGGTTTGGTCATGTGCGTAGAAGACCGAATGATGCACCTGTCAGGCGTGTTGAGATGTGTGGAGAAGAGGCAGGGAAGAGAGGGAGAGGGAGACCCAAACAAACGTGGGTTAGGGCAGTCCAAAGTGATATGCTTCTTCTTGGGTTGGATTAAGGTATGACTTTGGAGAGAGCAAAATGGAGGGCGGGTATTCGTGTGGAGGAGTGATCTCGTATTATTATTATTTCCCCTCATCTTTTTTCTTCTTGTTTCTTATTCTTTTATCCTTATATATATAAACATTATTTCTATCCTTTTTATTTTATCATTTTTTTAGTATATCCATCCCGTTTTATATTATCTTTTTTATAATAGCTTATTTTTTAATCTTTATTTTCTTTCTTTTCCTTTTGGTGGTGTTATCATGTATCGATTCATGTTAGCCGATCCCAATATCTTTTGGGACTAAGGCTTGGATGTTGTTGTTGTTGTATAATTATTTAGGGGGCGTGTTTCCTTTGTAAAACGTGGTTACCTCATAAAAGTAAATCAAGGACATCGCAAATGCCTTTCCAGAGAAATACGTAACATCACAAAAAAAAGTTAGTAAGGATTGAACATACAGTAATCGACCAAGAGCATCAATTTTATCTTTTCCAGAGCCACCACCAAGACTGCTTGACCTTTCACTGTTACCCCTTGCATTAAATCCTCTCCCTCTACCATGGCTACTGTAATTCAAATTACAATAACAAAACAAAACATGCAAATCAATTAACATAAAAACAACAACTGACAATTAGAGTACAATTGGGGGGGGGAATGCAATTCAAAAGATCCTAAAGATACCTGTGCTTTGAAGGTGCAAACACATAAAAAGAAGAGGTTGGGTTTTTGCATGAATCCATTTAAGTTAATATGTGAAAGCTGGACTGCAGAGAGAATGGCGTAGAGAAAGTACAGGGAAGTTGAAGAAGACTGGTGAAGCAGCTTCAAAGAAACCGGAGTCCACAATGAAATTCAAACGAATGAAATATACATACACTGAAGATGCAATGAAATATAATCCTGCAAAAGGAATAACTAAAATCAAGGCTCAACCCACTGCCAAACGAATGGGCCCTCACAGTAAAAGTACTAAAAGTAATAATCAGAAGGAATCAAACTTACGAAATTGACTATCTCTGTGGAGACAAGAGCCGGAGAAGGGAATTCATCAATTCAAGACTTTCGCAATCAAATTGAAACAAAGAAAGAGTGATATTGTTATGTATGCTCTTCATAGAGTTCTTAACCGTGGGTTCAGTTGTTAACCCGGGTCCGGGTGAACAGGCGGGGACAATATATCCACTTTTATTTAGTTGTTTAAGCTTCGGCCAAATTTCAATAACTCATTATCAATAAAATTTATTGAATTCAACGAAGGCTCAATTAAAAAAAAGACATTTCATTTAATTAAAACAACCTATTTTTGCTGTGGCATTTTTGTGATTTAACCGAAAAATCACGGCTCCCACTAAATGATCAATAGTGTACTTTTAGTGAGAATCTCACCTATTGTATTGAGTATTATGAGGCAAAGAATGAGTATCACGATCTCTGCTTTATATCTTCTTTTTATTTATTTTTTATTTTTTCTTTTATAAAAACTTATTAGATTATAACTATAATTCACTCCTATTAATTTCAATATGCGAGTCTAATGTAATATGATACTTTTCAAATTGCATTGATATGACATTTAAAAAATGAGCATAACACCAGTATCAAATGAGCATACATAACTTAAAAAGTGTACATTGATATGAAAATCATAAGATTTGTTAGTTGAACATCACAACATTTTAATTAAGCATCAAACATTCGCTATTGAGGTGAAAATCACGGTTTTTGGTGAATGAGTATTAATGAACTTTTAATAAGCATCACGCCTATTATGTTGAGTATTAGTAGTCTAATATTTATATTCGTGACATCTGTTTCATAACTTCTAATTCACTTTCTTTTAGTTATTTTTTCTTTTATAAAAACTTATTAAATTATATTTATAATCAACTCCTAAGAATTTCAATATGTGAATCTAATGTAAAATAGTACTTTAAAAAAATGCATTGATATGACATATAAAGAATGTGCATAAGATCAATACAAGATGAGCATATGTAACATACAAAGTGTTCATTGATATGAAAATCGTAAGATTTGTTAGTTTGACATAACGCCATTTTTATTGAGCATCAAACCTCGTCTATTGAGATGAAAATCACAGTTTCTGTTAATTGATCATTAATGAACTTTTAATGAGCATCGGACCTATTATGAGCATTAAAACACTTTCAATGAGAATCAGACTTATTCGATTGAGCATTAGGAACCTAACAATGTGAATTTAATGTCATATGCAACTTTCAAAATTTGCATGAATATGACATTTTAAAAATGAGCATAATATGAGTACAATTTTGTTGGGTTAATGGCCCAAGCCGAGGTCCGGCCCATTAACCCCTTTTTACCAGACGTACGTCCAGTCTGAACACAAGGCTAGCCCGCAGGCCCATGTTTCCTTGGGGAGGGACGAACATCCGGAGTTGGGGGTTCAGGCTCAACGGCTCAACTCGACGAGCGTCTAGGCAGGGACAAGGAGCAGGACCACGGGCCACCGGGGATGACAACGAACGTCTCCAGAGCAAGCCTACAGTCATCGGAGGAAGCCCAGTCCACATGGTGAGAATCCATTAAGGCCAGGAGACGAACAGCCGGTACCTCCTGAGGGTCACTTGGAGCCATCCAACTCGCTCCCCGGGCGGACGAACGTCCCCACTAATTAGGCGGGAAACCTAGATTCTGGCGGGAAGTGCATTTAATGCTGAAGATTTGGTGGTTGGGACACCAGCGGTCGCAGGCTGCCACGTCAGTATAGCCACCTGCCCATTGGTGGGTATAAATAGAAGCATTTATTTCATTGTAAAGGGTTGGCAACCTTCTATTCTTAGCACTCTAGCTATAGCATTCTTACTCGCAGCTCTTTTACTGCCTTGTAAGACGAACGGCCGACGTGCCTTATTGTAGCAAGTAGATTGTATTTAGGGGAGTTATTACGAAGTTAATAATACCTACTTACATTGCCTGCTATTTCCTCTGTTTCCTGATCTTTCTGATTGTTGTTGGGCTAGATATCTACACTCCTACACCTCTTCCACTCGAGACCCTTTGGGCTTACGTGTTGGGCCCAAGGATCGAAGGAATTAACATCAACAAATTTGAACAAACGTAACTTATAAAATGAGTATTGATATGAAAATCATAATTTTTTATTTGTACTTCAAGACACTTTTATTGAGCATCAAATCTTCTCGATTGAGTATTGAAAACATGCAATTGAATGTCATGGTTTGTGCTAATATATCTATAATCAACTACCAGATGAATCTAAAAAATAAATTGAAACATTTAATAATATTTTATATTATACATTTTTCATAATAATTGAATATAGTAGAAGGTTGCTAAAAAAGGAGAACAAACAAAGAAAACAAAAAAAGAAGGGAAAGTTCCCGAAATAGGACTAAAAAAGTTCGAAAATTCCAAAATAGGACTACCATGTTTTTATTCCCAAAATAGGACTAATTACTGCCAAAATTGGAAAATACTGTCATGTTTGAAGTCTGGTACTGCCAAAACATGGCAGTAATTAGTCCTATTTTGGGAATAAAAACATGGAAGTCCTATTTTGGAACTTGCAAACTTTTTTAGTCCTATTTCGGGTAATATCTCAGAATGAACGGAAGAAAAGAAAAGAAAGGGGACCATACAAACCAAAAAAAGGAGAACAAACAAAGAAAAAAAGAATGAACAAAAGAAACGAAAAGAAAGGAAAGCATACAAAGAAAACAAAAAAGACGAAAGGAGAACAAACAAAGAAAACAAAAAGAAAGAAGAATAAACAAAAAAAATGAGAACATACGGTACATGAGCGGAGCACCGGCGAAATAAGGAAGCAACTCAGCACTTCATCCTATATTCCTCATAACTTCAGCCCATTAGTTATCCTCAAACTTCCTACTAATTACAAAAAAAGATGTACATGTACATCGGGTGTAGAATATAAATTGCGACGTGTGTTAGGATGAATTTACTTGTATTGATATTTGTTCGTCTGGTTTAGTCCAATCCGTTTAAATCTGATTTGATCTGATCTGATCTAGTTTGTTAAATATCTTGTATCTATGTACTTTATAAATATGAAAGTCTAATCTGTTTAAGTCTGGTGTAGTCTAGTATGGGACTGAAAACAGTCCAAACAAAAACATCCTTTTTTAAGGGAAATAAAAACATCCTTTATTACAAATTTACAATAAGACGAACTCTTATTTACAGAAGAAAGTGTGAGCTCATCCAAATCATGAGAAGATTACGAGCCACACAATTATCACATAGAAATCATAATTACGATTTCCTATATTTTTTATCATCAAAACAGATACATTATATTAAATCAATAAAATGTTTGCCAGCTGGCTGACAATACAATGAAGATTTTTATGGCTGACAATACAATTAGAGATAAAATAGGAAACAAAATGATAAAAAGTCTTATGTCTGCCGTCCACCCTTGAACCATCCTTAGAAACTATCACCTCCGTAGAAGCAATAAGAATCGTTGATCCTGTAATGGGTTTAACTGAGCCTATGACAGGCAAACCAGATTTCTCATCACCTGACTTAAATGCAAAAAACTTTCTGCTAGAAAAAAAGAGCACACCCAAAACAACATGTAGTTCGAAAGAAAAACACAAACAAAATGAAACGAAATTAAAACAGAATTCACTCATTTTCTTCTAAATCTTAGATTCTCTTGCACTCCATGGTGGCGGCTCAGGAGGGGGACGAGCCCCTGAAAACGTCTGCTCCATGCAGTCAAAGCGTCCTCCTCATCGAGCACCAGTTCATCATCCTCAGTCCCAATCTCCAAATCATTGCATTGTCCGATCAACTTTTCTGCCAGTCCTGCATTTCCAACCATGTTTGTTAGATTGCCTCCTTGTCTTTGCTATGCTGCGAGGATCTTTGTCCCCATCTGCCGATTATATTTTCGCTAATACGCAAAGTGATTTGCCCGCTACCGCTGAAGCCGCACGATACCCAAAATTGCAATCTGCGGAGAAACAACACTGCCACTGGAGAAGCTATTGAGCCCAGGGATAACCCGCCGACTGGAGCTAATACAGAGAGTTTCTTCCCTTGAGGTTCCTTTTGAGTTAGTGCACTCCTCACTGACTAATTCAATTGTATTTTAACAAACTTCATTGAATGACCATTTTCTAATTATTCGAAAGTATTAGTTGCCTAACTCATCAATGTTTTTACTATGATTTCCACAATGTGATTAAAATCAATATATATATATATATATATAAGAGGAATTTTTCATGAGCATACAGAGTGCCACGTAACCCCGCCATGTCATCATATATAACAATTATTTAATTACTTTCTATACCTTTTATTTTCTACAGAGTATTACGTTTAATATATTCATCTTATTTGGTAACTTTATCAATTTCAAAATCAGATTTTAATTTATGTGTATTAAATTTACAAGTCGGCCAGATTTTAATTTCTAATTTAAGAATTTAGAAACTAAAACCTACGTAAGGATGACAGTAGCATCATTAGGCTCTATTTCCATATTTAAGTTTAAACAGTAACTTTATCAACTTCAAAATCAGTTTTTAATGTATGTGTATTAAATTTGCAATTCGGCCAGATTTTAATTTCTAATTTAAGAATTTAGAAACAAAAACCTACGTAATTTCTAATCACTAGGCTCTATTTCCATATTTAAGTTTAAACAACAACTTTAGGGAGTGTTTGCAAATAAGTGCTTTTGAAAAGTAAAAGTTGATAGTGTTTGGTAAAATAAGTGCTTTTTGTGTGATAGAAAAGGGAAAAGCACTTTTCACACGCAAGCCGAGAAAAAGTAAAAATTGGAAGTGTTTGGTAAATAAGTGCTTTTTTAAGCCAAAAGCTGAGAAGTGCTTTTTTTAAGCTATTGCAAACACTCCCTTTTTCTAGGGTTGATAAAGACTATGATGTTCTTTTTCTCTCTCTAGGGTTTCTCTCTAGAGTAGCATCGTTTCTTCTCTCTAAGGATTTGGCTCGGCCGTCTCTAGAGTAACATCAGTTCTTCCCGTTTTTCTTCGCCTCGGCTGTAGCAGTAAGGCAGGGACGTAGAATGTGTCGGTGGTTTGCAGGTTTCGTGCCTTTTTTGGTGTTTTGGAGCAGCAGGTCGATCGTGTGTCTTGGCTTCGGTGTTAGCATCGATCGGCGGCTTCAGGGAAGGT